GTGTGCTCTTCCGATCTATTATAAATGGCTACCGAATAAATCAATCTTATGATTGGCCATTCGACGCCATTTTTAATATTTTCTAGTACTTTTGCGATACTGCCATAAGCCGGTCGCGCTTCTCTGATAATCTAGGACTCTACTCTAGTCAAATCTTTTGCCGGTGTCGCGAAAAACGCCGGGATGGCCGCTCTCATGCTTCTCTCTGATCTAGGACTATAGCTAAATGCAACTTCTTGTCCTGAATGTTCTGATTGGCTTCGGCTTTTCTGTCAAGAGGGATGTGAATTTTCTCTTAACATTCTATTCTATTATTTCCATTCAATAATGACAAACAGAATGCTTGATGCTTGTATCGACTTATGGTTCCTTTAATGAAAAGCATTCACGTATTATCGTTTGCTCTATTTTTCCTATTTGAAGCGATATATTCAATATAATAAAATATATCCTTTTAACTATGAAAATAATCAAAGACCTAATACGAGATAAAAGTACATACAATGGTTTATAACCTCTCAATAGTTACATCACTGCTTGTTCTTTTCTTCTTGTATAACATATTCCAAAGTGCAAAGTCCGATGTAGCTGTCGCTAGCTCATGATAATGATTGATAAGCGATTATCGTAAGATATAATACAGTTATGCAAATACATAAAGCGTAAAGGAATAAGATGTTCGCTTTGGATCTGCTTCGTAAGATTGCATTCAAATTATTATCGTTTTGAACACGAGAAATTTTACAATATTTATTAAAATTACTTGCCGCTCTGTTCTTGCTAGTTATATAATTGTAAGTTGAAATAAAAAAAAAACGCAAAACTTGATCGAAAAAGATGGATATTGTTGTAAAGTTGAATGAGCAAACGGCAGGGAGAGACAAAATAATAAGGTATGTTTTTTCTTGTAATAATTTCCACATTAAATTTAAATACCTCATTCGATGATGAAACGTTTCGTTTCTTCTTATTCACCTACGTATGTCAACGTGCTTTACTCTCCTTTTACGTATTAGTTACAAAAACTCTTGTAATTTCTTATTTCTAAACGATGAATAGTTTTTGTTTACCACAACTTCAGACTTTAATTTTTAGTGACATATTCTCTGATGAATCAAACATCGACTTTTCCTTTTATTAATATATATATATATATATAATATGCTTTATTTATATTATATTAGAAATAATATCAAAATCTCTTGCAGATTGTTTCAATATGGGAGTCGAGCGTATTGGTACTATGCACAAAATATACATAGTACAAGGTACTCTGCAGAAATTTTGAGGAGTTTGGAATACACTTTTAGCTCATTTCGAAAATGTAATTTACTTTCCAATTTATAAAAACATTTTTCTATAAATTTTTATTTCTATAATCACTATATCAAATATATATATATATATATATATATATATATATATATATATATACATATATGTATGATATTAAGTTGGCAGCTAGAAAATTATATAAATCTTATTCTTTCTAGTATTGCGCTTTGGAAGATGCTTAGACAGTTTCTATTCCGCCCTAAAAATGATCAAGTATCCCAATCCTACAGTGAGAATAACATTAATCATGGCAAAGATGGCAAATGCTTTGTACTTACTGGCAGATCATTTTATCTGGATTGGTAGAGTGGGAATTTTACGAATTGATTTAGAAAAATGGAATAAAGTTGCTAATAAATACTGGTTACTAACTATCGTTATGAGTTTAATAAGAGATATTTATGAGATTGTTAAGATTTTGGAACACGAAAAGAATGTATTTAAACGACATCATATATTATGCTGTCTAAAAAATCACAAAGAAGTAATGATGGATACCGTTAAAAATGGATGTGATTTATTTATTCCATTAACAGCATTGGGTGTCACGAAATGTACTCCAGGTACAATAGGTTTACTTGGAATAATTTCTTCGTTGATTGCTTTGTATACAATTATCGATCCGCTTTATAAATTGTCTCCATCCTAAGACATTTTGTAAATGCCTTTTCATTCATTTCAAGTCACTCAATACTTATATATGTATAACATATATTCATTATATCGTATTTACATATGATTATAAAGAAAAAGAGGGACACAGATCGAGGGGCAGTTATTTATAAGTGTACATAGTAACAGAAGCAATATTCTTATATAAAATGTTATATAATTACTTATGATGAAGGTATGTATCGATTAAATGGAGGAAATGTATGGAATTTACACAATTTTTTATACCCTTTTTTAAAGAGATATATTTAATAGTCACTTAATAAAAGTTTTAAGAACCAAACCTGTTCGAGTTTGTCAATTGGAAGAAAACCTGTATCTTTCAACTCCATCAGGAAGTAATAATGCCGCTTAATTTCTAATACACAGAAATACGTACACAGAAGTAAAAGAAATATAAGAACAATAATTCACCGGTGAAATCCCGATATCCATCTACTTGCACTTTCTCATTACTGTTTAGGGAGTTGATAAAAAAAAGGAAATATCGTAAACAACTGAAATAGGTTTGGTCTATATACATTTGTCATTTTGTAAAAAATAATATCATTTTGTATAAAAATATAAACAAGGACATATTTCAAGCACTGTCTGTGAGTATCGGTAATGCTCCTTCTTGGACCAATAATTCATATTTGTTTGAGTAATACATTAAAGTAATACCCCATTTTCCACAAATCATAGCCCATACCGCTGATATGACAGTGCTCTCAGAAATTGGTTCAACGGCTATAATAAATTAATTTTTATTTGTTAGCAAATGTTGGTTTTGCTAATGCTATCAAATCAAGAGATGAAGTTATATATAGAATTAAAAAAAAAAGTAAAATGGTACTTAAACAAGCTACTGTATGAAATATCTAAAAAAATATACATATATATCAATATGCTTACAAATTTGGTAATAAAACGTAAGAAACAGGTACCAAATCAGTGCAGTAATACCAGTTACAGCACTTACAAACCCTACAACATTCAAATTTCGCAATGTAACTTTAGTATGCCATCTTTCCAAAGTTTCCTTGCCTCTTATCCAATGCAAGTGAAAACAGACTCCAGACAGGGCACCTATAGATTTCAATATTAATTAAACTTTAGAGCTTTAAAATACCTGACTTTTAACTAGCTATATCATTATACATTAGAAACAAAAACATATATATTAAAAATCATGCAAATGCCTTTTTTTGGTTATATACATACAGAATTTTTTGTAGCATAAAATTCAGTGAATTATATTGAAAACTTCTTTTTTCAATTCTTTTTTATACGATACAAAAGAAGGTATAGTCTGTTTAATAATGGATCATAAAAAAAATGGAATATATAATTATTCAAATTTTGAAGTCATGTTTGGTACGGGAATCAGAGTATAGAACAAACAAAAATCTATTCAATATGAATTTTATTGTAAAAAATTAATTCATTTTAATAAATAGTAGAAGACATTTTTTTCTCTTCTAGCATTCAAAACATAGTTATAGCAAGAAATTACGAGCTTCAAAAGCACAATTTAATCTGTCATATTAATACAATTAAATATATAACTATGACAATGATGTAAAAAGAAAAATAATATACTAATTATTGTCATCTCAATATTATCATTAATAACAATAATACCTATATTTGGCGAAACAATAAAGAGAAAATGTTTTTTCTTTGCATTCTACGTATCAATAAGACTGATTATTTTTGCAAATTATGAGTAAATATGAGTAAATCTTGAATTTGTAAGACAAATTGAATAGATGAAATAAATATATCAAACGCAGTTAGGCAGAAGGAAATTGTTTTTTTTTATCAAGAAAATACGTAAAGTTGTAATAAACATACGTGATTTGTCTCAAACTTAACCTTAACTTAAATCAGTATTCAGTGAAAAGGGGCAGCATCGCTAACCTGCTAATATTGACCAAAATCCGACATCGTGATTTCCATAAACGATGAATAAGATAAAAAACGCGAATATACTAATCAATATACCCACGGCACTAATTAACAGATGTATCAGGACGTCACGTAACATTCTTTATCAGACGTGGGTATTTATATCGAATACGGGTTTTACCGCAAATCTTGATCAAAATATACTTAAGTTACGAGACACTGCCGTGTTTTCTGATTCTATGCGTTTTTACTCAAAACGAAAGAATCTGGCAAAAAATACGGCGATGTGCCTCACGAAGCGAATTATCGAACGTTAAGGTTGACGACTATTTAAGTTAGGAAAATTATCATATCGTCAAAATCATAAATATGGATTGGCAGTGTATTATAGTATTTATAGTATTTGTATAAGAAGCAGCGTTCGGAGGAGGTTGGAAAGAAATGTACTTTTTAGTAGTTTTCAATAGAAAATGTTTAATTCTCTTTCTCAAAGTGTAAAGGAATAAACATTGGGCATGTGAGTGAAACATAAGGCGCATTTTGATGACGTGTATGAAACTAGTCACGCTTTCTTATTGGCCAGTCTTGAATTTCTTGGTTCAGAGCCCCGGAATAGCTAGAGTCCTAGATTATCAGAGAAGCGCGACCGGTGTTACGAGCCCTGATTGGACTCGCAAATGGCCAATCATAAGATTGAT